ATGTCAGAAGAGACTCTGAAAATTGCCCTGGAACAGCGAGCAGCTAAAGAAAATGGAAAAAAAGGACAAGGTAAAAGAGCTGAACAGAAGATTTCAAGGAGCAGCTCGAGAAGACAAAGCCAATTATTATAATGAAATGTTCAAAGACTTGGATTATAAAACCAAAAGGGAAGAACATACTTGGCATTTCTCAAGTTGAAAGAACTGAAGAAAAAATTCAAGCCTTGAGTTGCAATATTGAAATATTCAATGGGCAAAATAGTGAATGATGCAGGAGACATCAAAAGAAGATGGAAGGAATATGCAGAGTCACTATACCAAAAAGAATTGGTCAACATTCATCCATTTTGGGAGGTAGCACATGATCAAGAACCAATGGTATTGAAGGAAGAAGTCAAAGCTGCACGGACAGATTTGGCGAAAAACAAGGTTCCAAGAATTGACAGAATACCCACTGAGATGTTTCAACAAATGGATGCTGCCCTGGAGGCACTCATTTGTCTATGCTAAGAAATTTGGAGGACAACTACCTGGCCAACTGACTGAAAAAGATCCATATTTGTACCGATTCCAAAGAAAGGTAATCCCACAGAATGTGGAAATTATGGAGCAATGTCATTAACATCACATACAAGTAAAATCTTGCTGAAGATAATTCAAAAACAGTTGCAGCAGTATATTTACAGAGAACTTCCAGAACTGCAAGCTGCATTCAGAAGAAGACATGAAACAAGGGATATCATTGCTGATGTCACATAGATCTTGGCTGAAAGCATTGAATACCTGAAAGATGTTTACTTGTGTTTCATTGACTATGCAAAAGCATTTCATTGTGTGGATCATAACAAATTATGGATAACATTGAGAAGAATGAGAATTCCAGAACACTCGATTGTGCTCATTACAACATAAGCTGTACATAGACCAGAAGGCTGTCGTTTGACCAGAACAAGGAGATATTGCATAGTTTAAAATCAGGAAGGGAGTGCGTCAAGGTTGTATCCTTTCACTATACTTATTCAATCCATATGCTGAACAAATAATCAGAGAAAATGGACTATATGAAGAAGAATGTGGTATCAGGACTGGAAGAAGACTTTTAACAACCTGTGATATGCAGACAACACAACTTTTCTTGCTGAAAGTGAGGACGACTTGAAGTACTTACTGATGAAGATTAAAGACTTCAGTCTGCAGCATGGATTACATCTCAGCATAAAGAAAACGAAAATCCTCACAACCAGACCAATAAGCAGCATCACAATAAATGGAAAAAAGATTGAAGTTGTTAAAGATATCATATTTCTTGGTTCCATAATCAACACCAATGGAAAGGGGTAATCAAGATATCAGACAATGTATCACACTGGGCAAATCTGCTGCAAAAGACCTCTTTAAAGTATTGAAGAACAAAGATGTCTCTTTGAAGACTAAGGTGCACCTAACCCAGGCCATGGCATTTTCAATCACCTCATATGCATGTGAGAGCTGGACAATGAATAAGGAAGACCAAAGAAAAGTTGATGCTTTTGAGTTGTGGTATTAGAGAAGAATGCTGAAAGTACCATGGACTGCTAAATAGACTAACAGATCTGTCCTGGAAGAACTGCAGCCGGAATGCTCCTTGGAAGCGAGAATGGCCAGACTTCGCCTTACCTACTTTGGTCATGTTGTCAGAAGGGACCAGTCCCTGGAGAAAAATATCATGCTTGGTAAAGTGGAGGGTCAGCAAAGAAGAGGAAGGCCCTAAACAAGATGGATTGACATAGTGGCTACAATGATGGGCTCAGGTATAGCAGTGTTTCATTCTGTTGTACATAAGGTCGCTATGAGTCAAAGCCGACTTGACAGCCCCTAACAACAACAACATGTGTGTGTGCGCATGTATCTGTGTGTGTGTATTTAAAAAAATAAAGGAATTGAATTCTAAGTCACTAATTTCTTATTAAGTCAAATATTGTTAGCATTTCAAGCATTCAATACAGTTAATTATATCTAGCAAAGTGGGAGTTGAGAGAGAACAAGAAGTGGGAATAGAAGAGCTAGCCAACTGGATAAAAGGAAAAAGCAAGGAGGGGAGGGAACAGGGCTGCTGGCCACCAGGATAAAACAGATACTGAAATTTTTTTTCAAGTTTATGAAGCACAAGAGGCACCTGGCTAAAGTAGCTCAATGGTTATGCTTAAATTTCTTACCTTCTGAGGCTTTCTTTCTTTTCTTCATGTGTTAAACAGCAGTCTAAGTGCTTATTAATGTAATTTTCTGAAATATTAATCCCACAAACAGGGCAATCCACTGTAATTTTTAGAAAGAAACAAAAAAGAGAGACTTAATTATTTGTAGAAAGGGCCAAAATAATATAAACTGGCATCTTTAAGCAATTAAGATTAAAAAGAGAGAGAGAGAGAGAGAGAATCCCAACCTTAACAAGCACTTAGAAAAGCAAAAGGGCAAAAAAGACACATAAGATATGAGTGAGACAACCTGGTTACTGGGTAATGGCTAAACATTTAGAATGCTGGGCTCAGAGGAAAAGATTGCAAATAAATTTGCAATTTATTAGAAAATACTTTAAGTATTTTATACCAAAGTATGACCAGACTATAAAACAAATCTTATGTTTTCCCAAGCCTTAGGAACCATTCATGTTTAGCATAGAAATAATTTTAGCAACTGGAAAAAGGCATACCTGGTCAGGGTTGGGGAGAAAAAGGGGAGGACAGGTGCAGCTAAATTGATTAAAGCCAGCGACTGTTGAATTCTGGGAGCTCTAGTGGCATAGTACCTAAGGCATTTGACTGCTAACCAGAAGGCTGGCAGTTCAAACCCACCATCCACTCCTCAGAGGGAAGAGTGGACATTCTACTTCAGTAGAGATAACGCCTCAGGAATTCAAGGAGGGGTCGCTATGAGTCGGATCCAACTCAACAGCAGTGAGTTCAGTTGAGTTGAGTTTGACTGTTGAATTGTGTTGATGGTTATCAATTCATTAATTTAGCTCTAATTTGTAATTACAAATATAATGCAAAAATCAGAGCATACAATAGTCCTCAAACTGTTTCACAGAGTTGTAGGAATCTATGGAAGTATCTCAGGGCCTAGAGGCCATTATGGGGAAGAGGCAGTGGAAATGACTAAAGAGGAGGTCAATGGCAGTGGTGGTTCAGCAGTATAACTGTTGACTTCTATCATGGAGACTAAGTTTGATTCCCAGAGTGTTGCTGTGATGCTGAACGGATTTCAGAGGCATTTCTAGACTAAGAAAGACTAGGAGGAAAGGACTAGGCAACCTACTTCCAAAAATCAGCTAATGAAAACCCTATGGGTTACAATAATCCCAGAGTGCATGGAGTCCCCCTGAGTCAGGGGCCAACTTGATGGCAGCTAACAACAATGAGGAGGAGATCAGGTGGAGCAACACAATCTCCAGTTCCTACAGCCCTACTTTAACAGAGGTGAGCCAATTTTACCTATTTCTATATGTCACTGAAAGATTTCATCTGAAAAAGGATTCTACTAGGGGAAAAAAAAGTTAACTATCAATCTAAAAGTATTACAACAAGAACTGTCAATCGACAAAAAGCCTGACCAAAAAAGACATGTTAGGAAATATAAGTAAAATTTACATATCCTTGTAAAATTTAAGCATTTCAGTGTTAATAAACTAACTTAAATCTAATTAAATTTAATAAACACTAAAACCCTGCACTATGTGTGGTTTAAGTATACTGAAGATGTCTAAGACAAAGCTTCTACATAAAATGTACTCAGGACTTCACTGGTAAAACAAGACACAGAAACAAAAAGTTGAACTATCACATTTGTCAAATAGTTATTAAGCAAATGGCACATTACATAATCCAGAAAACATACTTTAGTGATGTGAAAAATCAATGTTGTCTAAGATAATAGTCAGGCCCTGGACAGTAAAAGTATAGGTAAAGTAAAGGTGTAGAACAGCATCAGCAAACATCTTCAGTAAATGTTGTAGTTGTTAGATGCTGACAAGTTGATTTCAACTCATAGTTACCCCATGTGACAGAACAGAACTGTCCTACAGGGTTTGCTTGGCTACCATCTTTACAGAAGCAGGTCACTAGATCTTTCTCCTAGAAGTTGCTGGGTGGGCTTGAACTGCCAACTTTTCTGTTAGTACCACCAAAACTTCTTTCAGTGAAGGAGCAGACAGTAAACACTTCAGGCTTTACAGGCTATGTGGGCTCTTCTGCAACTACTCAACTCTGCCCCTGTAGCAGGAAAGTAGCCACAGAAAAAAAGTAAACAAGTAGATGTGGCTGTGTTTCAGTAAACATTTATTTACAAAATTAGGTGGCGATTCAAATTTGGCCCACAGATCATACTGTGCCAGTCCCTGATGTAGACATAATCATTCTAGAAGTTAAGCTTCTTAATAAAAAACCTGAAGATATCTATGCATGGGGTGTATTGAAAGAACAGATCAGATTGGCTAGAACATAAAGTTTTTTGAGAGGAAGAGCTGAGAAATGAGGCCACACAGGTAGAGTATGAGTCACATTATCAAAGGCTTCAAATGCCAGGCAGAACAGGTTCGACTTAGCAACCCCCATTGGGTTTCCGAGACGGAAAACCTTTACGGAAATAGATTGTCCAGTCTTCCCTCCAAGGAGTGGCTGGCGGGTTTGAACTGCCAACCTTCTAGTTAGCAGTCAGCCTTAGGCACTGCGCCACCAGAGCTCCTTAAAAGTTTACAAGTAAAATACTAATGCAATACTCCAAGTGTGAACTAAAATTGCTTCATTTTTGTAGCAATCAGCTGGAATTTCCATTCTATGAGAGAAAATGAGAAAAAACATACCTACAAGCACAGCCTATATCAATCTCTGGGATTGTAATAAGATGAAATCTAGTTTGCCCTTTCCCCGTCCTTCCCCCTCAAACACTACTGCCCATTTATGTTTATGTTGTGTGGGGTGAGAAGATTCCATTCAGAAAATAGAGGAAAATATTTCCCTACCTTTAGCAACTTGTTTTGCAGTGGATGTAGAGGGTTTCCCAGGAAAATTAACACCCGAAGGGCCTGGAGCTGTGTTTTTTACTGAAGGTATCTTTTTGTTCTGTGTAGAAATGCTTGCTTCTTTTTGATGGCTGAATTTACTTTGGTTTTCTTTCATCAACAACTCTGATGTAGAACCACCAATTTCTTGGGTCAAGAAATTGTCCATTAACTTCCTCTCCAGCTTTAGAGAATGTCTAGAGGCTACTGAAGCATGTGCTTTAAAAGCAAAGTTCTTTGCCGAAGAGGAAGCAGGAGAGGTGGGTGGTGATTCTAAGGCAAACTGCGATAGATGGTTCCTTGAAACACATAAAACACAATAGATAACTGAAATACCAAATTATATATAATAAATTAACTACATTGTTGTTTCCTCAATTAACATGTTTCCATGAAATACAGAACTTACTCCATGACGACAACCAAACCAAAGAGTTTTCTTCTAGAATAAAATATGAAACAATAAATCTGACTTAAAAGGGAGTTAATCTGTCTAGAAAGGAAAATGCAGATACTTCAGGCTCTAGTGGCATAGTGGTTAAAACAAGTCACAGCTAACCAAAACAGGTTGGAGGTTCAAATCCATCAGCTTCTCCATGGGACAATAATGTGGCAGTCTGTTCCTGTAAAGATTTACAGGCTTCAAAATCCTATGGGCAGTTCTACTCTATCCTATAGGGTCACTATGTTGTTGTTGTTGTTGTTATTTGCCGTCGAGTCGGCCCCGACTCATAGCGACCCCTCCTTGGGTTTCCAAGGCAGTATCACTATGGAAGTAGGATTGCCCAACCTTCCTTCCAAGGAGTGGCTGGTGGGCTTGAACCGCCAGCCTTCTGGTTAGCAGTCAAGTGCCTTAGCCACTATGCTACCAGAGCTCCCTATGAGTCGGTACAAACTCCACAACAGTGGTTTCAGTTTCTGGCCATGAAGAGTACTCTCCAACCATAAATCTGGTTGAAATTTAAAATTTAAAATCTGGATGAAACAACTGTTTGTGGACTTTGGGCTATAATCAACATAAGACTGCAATCCTTGAGAGAAAAGAAAAACATGAGGTGAACCATCACTTACCCAAGATTTTTACCCCTGTAATTTTCTGGGAATTAGGCATTGAACTAAAGCCTGGGCAAGAACAGTGATTTTTCTGGGTAAACAGAGATAAGAATTCTAGGTAAAGGTGACTAGAACTAGAGGGTAAGAGTGTTGGAGAGAGGCTAGCCACAAAAAGGCAACCATAAAAGGCTACTTAGAAATTCTCATTTATTCCTGATCATCTCCAGGGCTGTACCGCAAAAGGTCTGGTAAGAAGCAGCTACTGGGAACAAAGGTCAGTGCAGGAAAGCATTGGAGTTTGCGCCCAGCCAGAGCTGAGAGATCTTGGTGAAGACTATGGATATTCCTTTGGGACCCCACAAAGATTATACGTTAGAAAGAGGGATCACATTCTAGAAATATATTTTAAAAAGGGAAATAGATTTAACCTAACAAAACACTAAATCAGGCTTTGACAGAATAGAAGTGAAAAGCTGATAATGTAACTGCCTGTCAAAACAAAAATCATCATTCTTTAAAGAAAGTTAAAATTTTATCCACAATGTTCAACATATTTAAAAATCATTAGACATACAAAGAAGCAAAAAAAAAAAAAAAAAAGCAGCCACTAATCAAGAGATAAAATACTCAACAGAAGCAGACCCAGATGTAATCCAAAGAGTAGCATTATCAAATATGGACTTCAAAGTAACTATAACAAATATATACTGTTTAAATAGTAAGAGAATAAGGGGTGCTCTGGTAGTGTAGTGCCTAAGAAACTTGACTGCTAACTAGAAGACTGGAGGTTCAAACCCACCAGCCACTCCTCAAAAGGAAGGTTGGGCAATCTACTTCCATAGTGACACCGCCTCAGAAACCCAAAGACGGGTTGCTATGAGTCAGGGCTGACTCAAGGGCACATAATAACAACAACGACGACGAGAGAATAAAGACTAGTAGATAAAAAGAAAGTGTATTTTAAAACCCATAATAAAATAATGAAATAAACATTCTAGATTAATTCAAAAATAGCTGTAGTATTATATCAACAGGGAGGTGCCAGAAATTCAAGCCAGATTCAGAAGAGGACATAGAATGAGGGATATCATTGCTGATGTCAGATGGATCTTCACTGAAAGCAAAGAATACCAGAAAGATGTTTTCCAGTGTTTTATAAAGTAAGTATAGACATTTGACTGTGTGAATCATTAAAAATTATGGATAACATCGCAAAGGATGGGAATTCCAGAGCACTTAATTGTGCTCATGAGGAACCTGTGCATAGACCAACAGGCTGTCATTCAACCAGAACAAGAGGATACTGCATGGTTTAAAATCAGGAAGTGTGTGTCAGGGTTGTTTCCTTTCACCATACTTATTCAATCTGTATGCTGCACAAATAATCAGAGAAGCTGGACTACATGAAGAAGAACATGGCATGAAGATTGGAGGAAGACTCACTAACACCCTGCAATATACAGATGTCACAACCTTGCTTGCTGAAAGTGAAGAGGATTTGAAGCATGTACTGAGGTAGATCAATCTGCTTCCATAAGCATGGCAATTCCATGACAACCTGCTTCCATAAAGATCACAGGGAAGAAAACCCTATGGAGCAGGTCTAGTGTCATGTGGTTTCACTACGAGTCAGAACTGACTCAATAGCAAACAACAACAACATAGTTTCTCAACATTGTCACCATTAACTCTTGGCCCCAGTAATATTTTTGTTGTGAAGGGCCATCTATAAATTGTAGGCTACTTAAAAGCATTCTACAGAATCCACCAAATGCCAGTAGCGTATCTTCCCCACCAGTTGAGATGACCCAAACATCACCAGACATTGCCAAACATACCTTGGCAGCAAAATTGCTCCTGGTTAAGAACCACTGCTCTAAGAGAACAAAATAATAACAATTACTAACTGTGCAATAGAAACTATGGCAGCAAGAAGATAATAGAATGATATCTTTCAAATACAGAAAAGAAACAAAACTGCCAAGAATTATACCCTGACTGAAAATACCCTTCTAAAATCAGGGTAAAATAAAGACACTCTCAAGCAAACAAAACCTTCAGGCTGAAGGAAAATGATCTTACATGAAACATAAACATGCCAACAAGAATCAAAGCTTCAGAGAAAATAAATACATGGGTACATACAAGACTATTAACTGTTTTAAAATAACAGCAATGTCTTATGAGATTTAGAACAATATAAGGAAGATATTTCAAAACAACAAAAAAAAAGAAAAAAAGGAGGGATTAATATAAAGCAAAAGTATTGCACAGTTCTTCTATTGTGCTGGACATGGTAAAAGCACACTGGTAGCATAGTGGCTAAGACACTTGCCTGCTAACCAGACGGCTGGCGGTTCAAACCCACCAGCCACTCCTCGGAAGGAAGGTTGGGCAATCCTACTTCCGTAGTGATACTGCCTCGGAAACCCAAGGAGGGGTCGCTATGAGTCGGGGCCGACTCGACGGCACACAACAACAACAACAACAACAACAAGAATATATTTATCAATTTCTAGGATACTCTTAAGAGAGTAACACTAAAAGGTTATAATGGACAAACTTAACAAAGGAGACAAAATAAAAATACTTGTTAATGTTATTAAGAAGACAGGAAAGAGTTAAAAAAAAAGATGGCCAATTACAAAACAAATAGTAAACTGCATGGTATTAAATGAAAAGGACTAAACACTTCAATTAAAAGAAAACACTGTCAGACTGGATTAAAAAACAAGACACAACTACATGCTGTTTAAAAGAAATGCTCTATAAATATACTCAGGTTGAAGAAAATAAAAGGATGGAAAAAAATGTACCATGCAAATACTAACCAAAAGAAAGTTGATACCAGCAACATTAATAGTCAAAACTTTAGATAAAGAGGGAGGCCTCCTTTTGACAACACGGTTGTTTGAACAGGAAGCCACAACAATCATAAAGGTATACACACCTAACAGCATCGCTACTAAATGTATAAAGCAAAAACTGACACAACTAAAAGGATAGTCAATCCACAGTAATTATTAGTTTAAATAATGTTGTTGTTGTTGCCGCATGCCGTCAAGTCAATTCTGATTCATGGCGACCCTATGTGCAACAGAATGAAACACTGCCTGGTCCTGCACCACCCTCACAATCCTTGCTATGCTTGAGCCCGTCGTTGCAGCCACTGTGTGAATCCACCTCACTGAGGGTCTTCCCCTCTTTCTCTGACCTTCCACTTTACCAAGCATGATATCCTTCTGCAAGGAATAGTCCCTCTGACAACATGACCAAAGTAGGTGAGATGAAGTATGGCCATTCTCACTTCCAAGGAGCATTCTGACTACACTTCTTCCAGGATAGATGTGTTCAATCCATGGTTATTTTCAGTATTCTTCACCAATACAATTCAAAGGCATTAATTCTTCTTTGGTCTTCCTTATTCATTGCCTAGCATTCACATACATATGAGGTGACTGAAAATACCATGGTTTGGGTTATACACACTCTAGTCTTCAAAGTGACATCTTTGTTGTTCAACAATGTACAGAGGTCTTTTGCAGCTAATTTGCGCAATGCAAAACAATGTCTGATTTTTTGGTTGCTTTCATGGGTATTGATTGTGGATCCAAGTAGAATTAAATCCCTGACAACTTCCATCTTTTCTCCACTTACTGTGATGTTGCTTATTAGTCTAGTTCTTAGGATTACTGTTTTCTTTATGTTGAAATGTAATCCATACTGAAAGCTGAAGTCTTTGATCTTCCTCAGTATGTGCTTCAAATCATCTTCACTTTCAGCAAGCAAGGCTGTGTCACCTGCATACTGCAGGGTGTTAATGAGTTTTCCTCCAATCCTGATGCTGCATTTTTCTTCTTATAGTCCAGCTTCTCTGATTATTTGGTCAGCATACAGATTGAATAAGTATAGTAAAAGGAAACAACCCTGACACACACTCTTCCTGATTTTAAACCATGCTGTATCCCCTTGTTCTGGTCAAATGACAGCCTCTTGGTCCATGCACAGGTTCCTCAGGAGCACAATTAAGTGTTCTGGAGTTCCCATATTTCACAATGTTATCCATAAGTTGTTATCATCCACACAGTCAAATGCCTTAGCATAATCAGTAAAATACAGGTAAACATCTTTCTGGTATTCTGTGCTTTCAGTAAGATCCATCTGATATCAGCAATGATATTCCTGTCCCACATCCTCTCCTGAATCCAACCTGCAGTTCCAGAAGTAACCTGTGAATATACCACTG